GATATATACCTAGTAATGGAATTGCTGGGTCAAATGGTATCTCCACTTCCAACTTTCTAAGCAATTGCCATATTGCTTTCCGCAGTGGTTGTACCATTTCACAGTCCCACCAGCAGTGTATGAGAGTCCCAATCTCTCTACATCTCTACTAGCATTTGTTATTTTCTGTCTCATTAGACCTTGTCATCAGTGCTGGGGTGAGACCCTATCTCATTGTTTTGATTTACATCTCTCTGATGGCCAACAATCATGAGCATCTCTGCATGTATTAGCTGGCCACCTGAATATCTTTCTTGGTGAAGTGTCTATTCATGTTTTCTGCCCATTTTTCAATTGGATTGTTAATTCCTTTGGTGTTGAGGCATTAGAGTTTTCATTAAATCTTAGCAATAAATCCCTTGCCAGATATGTAATTATTGGCAAATATGATTTAGTTGGTGTCATTTTTGTTATGTGCTTTTTCGTGGTGTCAATTTCTTTGTTCCATATTATTTTCTATGCTGAGCTAGTTTTGTTTATGAATTGTGTAATCACTTCCTTCATTGCTATTGTTTTAGTATTTGCTGTTTTTATACACATAAGGAGTATGTGGTACTTTGCTAATCTAGAATGTGTTGGCTGTTTTAGGACTCAGTGGTCATGGATGATGTGGCTGTGGTCTTTACCCAGGAAGAGTGGGCTTTTCTGGATCTTGCTCAGAGGAAGCTCTACAGAGATGTGATGCTGGAAACCTTGAGAAACCTGGCCTCCGTAGGTAAGAATGGCATCTTGTTTGTTATTGTTGTTCCTTAGTGAACAAAAACATTTATTTTCTTCAACTTTGCTCTAATATTTGAGCTTCAGAATGGTTGTAAGTTTTAAATACAATAGGTATGGTCCCTTGATCTATGGAGCTCACATATTGTGCTTTCCCCTTGAGCATAAAGCTCTGAGTATTAAAAAGAGGTTTCATTTCTCTTGTGGTTAAAAGCCTTGACACGCTAAGTATCGTAAGTGGAAACACTGGCTTCGGGAGTCACTTTGGGGCACTGTGAAAGTTGTGTTTAGGGACCTTGTACAAAGCTTTAATGTGCTTATTACAAGTTTAATGTGATTATTTTGCTGCAAATAAGTTCACACCTGTTCATCTTCAGAGACCCTGAAGAGCAAAGTATTGGCTCAGTGTCCAAGGAATGTTCATTGCTCTTCAGTGGCATCCCTCATGATAGGCATTTCTCTGTGAGCATCATGTCAGCTCAATCCATGTATCTTCCCAGAAAATTAAGGGCAATGTCTGAGGACAGTGGATACAGGACTCATCCAGGCATCAGGAAAGCAAGAAGGGAATGATATTAGAATGAGTCAGCTAGAAAAAATCTAGTTTGGTTGAGAACACAACTTCACAGATACCTGAGCTTGCTTTTCTGACTTTAACAATCCTCTCACGTGTAGTCACAGAGACACTTCTCCTCTTTTAATCTTACATGTGTATTATCTCCAGTATCTTTCAACTTAGTTCTTTTATTTATTCATGTTTACATCACCATCACTCTCAATCCTCCCATACACGTTTCCTAGTAAATTACTTTCTAATTATTGTCATTGTGCGGTAACAGTGAAATGTAGAGTAGTCTTTCTCTGTTTACAGCAGCCATTTTCCCTCCTAATAATTCCTTTCCTTTTTGTTTTATGTTGTAAACCTCAACTTGAATTATTGGGTCAGTCTCTGGAAACCTTAATGATGAAGAAAAGTTATCCAGTAAACATATAATGGTACAATTCATGAAGAATAACACCTGGTCTTCCATGTTAGGAGAACTCTCTGAATTTTATGGTGATAAAGATCAGCCTATAAACCAGGGGGCACATTTAAGGTGAGTTTCATTCATACAAGAAAAAAACAGTACATCAGGATAAAGTTCTAAGTTGTCATGACATTAAAATATACATATATATTAAAAATGTCATCAATGTCCTTGAGCTGTAAATGTGGAAGTTGTTATGTGTGTGAATGTCTTGGTGTATATGTTTTCACCACAATAAAAGGTAAAACAACCACCACCACACACACATATATATATATATATAGTTATGTATATATACCAAAGCTTCAGATGAGTTTGTAACTGTTCAGCAATTGCCAGCTGAAACAAGAGCAGTGTATGTATTGCATAGGAACCACATTTGTTGGATTTTGATCCAAGTAGAAGACAATCAGTGGTGACCCACATGGATGCTAAAAGTTTGAGGAGCCTGATGTGAGAGAGTGGATTTACAATTATGGTTGAGAGAATTTTCACAGTATGAGATGCTCATAAATCTGAGCAAGATATCAAGTAATTGAATCATATTTCACTTGGATACAATTATCAAACAGCCTATATTTTACAAAAACAGTGACATTAACTATTGTAATTCTGCTAGATGATTTAACCTATGAAATATTAGACAACTTAGGGCAAGAGCCAGGCACATTCACTGTGTCTAGTGTGGTGAAATGGGGACAAATTCATTTCTAACACCATTTATTTTTGTTTGTTATTTTAAACAACAAATTTATTTTTTAACAGAAGTCATACAGTAGACAACATCTGTGAAAATAATAAAGGCAATCAGTGTGGGAAAACCTCCAGCCAGATTCCAGATCTTACTGTGCTACAAAGAAATCCTCCAGAAGTAAATCCTGTGGAATCCTGTGAGTGTAGAAAAGACTTTATCAATCATACATCGCAGAAGGATCATAGCAGATCTCACATTGGAAGTAATACCTGTCAGTTTAAGAAATATGAAGAGTCCTGCAATTGTCCCTGTCATCAAACCACTCCTATGAGAACTCTTAATGGAAAGAAACGCGATAAATGTATGACATGTGGGAAAGACTTCATTTGTATAACAGCTGTTAAGAATACTGTGACAACACTAATGGGCGAGAAACGCTATAAATGTCAAGTGTGTGGGAAGCATTTTGGTAGTTTCTCATCCTTTTGGACACATGGTAGAGGTCATAAGCACAAATGTAAAGAATATTGTAAAACTGATCTCTCACCCTTCATTTTACGTAGAAAATTTCATAACAGAGATAAGCCTTATGAATGTAAGGAATGTGGGAAAGGCTTTCGTTGGCCTTCATCCCTCACTATACATATGCGAACTCACAGTGGACAGAGGCCTTATGAATGTAAGCAGTGTGGTAAAGTCTTTAGTTATTCCTCAGCCCTCACTACACATAGTAGAACACACAGTGGAGAGAAACCTTATGAATGTAAGGAATGTGGAAAAGCATTTAGTCGTTCCTCACACCTCACTTCGCATATAAAAACTCATAGTGGAGAGAGGCCTTATGAATGTGAGCAGTGTGGAAAAGTCTTTAGTCATTCTTCTGCCCTCATTACACATAAAAGAACACACAGTGGAGAGAGACCTTATGAATGTACAGAATGTGGGAAAGCCTTTAGTCAGTCCTCACACCTCACTACACATAAAAAAACTCACAATGGGCAGAGGCCATATGAATGTAAGCAATGTGGAAAAGCATTTAGTCAGGCTTCTTCCCTCACTCAACATGTAAGAACTCACAGTGGAGAGAGGCCTTATGAATGTAAGGAATGTGGGAAAACTTTTAGGTGTTCTTCAAACCTCAGTACACATAAAAGAACTCACAGTGGAGAGAGACCTTATGAGTGTAAGGAATGTGGGAAAGCCTTTAGGTGTTCCTCACACCTCACTAAACATAGAAGAACACACAGTGGAGAGAGGCCTTATGAATGTAAACAGTGTGGGAAAACCTTTAGTTGGCCCTCACACCTCACTTCACATATAAAAACTCACAGTGGAGAGAGACCTTACGAATGTAAGCAATGTGGGAAAGTCTTCAGTCATTCCTCAGCCCTCACTATGCATAAAAGAACTCACAGTGGAGAGAAACCTTATGAATGTAAGGAATGTGGGAAAGCTTTCAGTTGTTCCTCACATCTCACTACACATATGCGAACTCACAGTGGAGAGAGGCCCTATCGATGTAAAGTATGTGGGAAAGCCTTTACTCAGCCTTCATCCGTTACCACACATATGCGAACTCACAGTGGAGGGAGACCTTATGAATGTAAAGAATGTGGGAAAACCTTTAGTCGTTCCTATTACATCTCTGAACACAGAAGAACTCACAGTGGAGAGAAACCGTATGAATGTAAAGAATGTGGGAAAGCCTTTAATTGTTCCTCAGCCCTAACTACGCATATGAGAACTCACAGTGGAGAGAGGCCGTATGAATGCAAGGAATGTGGGAAAGCCTTTAGTCAGGCCTCACACCTAACTAGACATATAAGAACTCACAGTGGAGAGAGACCTTATGAATGTAAGGAATGTGGAAAAACCTTTAGGGATTCCTCAGCCCTCACTACACATATAAGGACTCACAGTGGAGAGAGGCCGTATGAATGTAAGCAATGTGGGAAAGCCTTTAGTTGTTCCTCAGCCCTCACTACACATAGTAGAACTCACAGTGGAGAGAGGCCCTATGAATGTAAGGAATGTGGGAAAGCTTTCAGTTCTTCATCATTGTTAACTAATCATAGAAGAATTCACAGTGGAGAGATGCCTTATGAATGTAAAGAATGTGGGAAAGTCTTTAGTCAAGCCTCAAACCTCAATAAACATAGAAGAATTCACAGTGGAGAAAGGCCGTATGAATGTAATCAGTGTGGGAAAACTTTTAAATGTTCCTCACACCTTACTACACATAGAAGAACTCACAGTGGGGAGAAGCCTTATGTTTGTAAGGAATGTGGGAAAGCTTTTAGTGATAACTCAGCACTCAATAAACATGTAAGAACTCACAGTGGAGAGATGCCTTATGAATGAATGTAAAGAATGTGGAAAAGTTTTGATGGAAGCCTGGAACCTCATTACCCTTAGAAGAACTCACAAGAGAGGTTTTATGGATATAAGGAATGTGGTAAAGTCTCTAGTCATTCCTTACACTTCACTTCACATTATGTTCTCACAGTGGAGAGACTGTGTCAAAAGTGAGATGTTTCATCTTGACTGCTGTAAGTTGGAACCACAAATTTCCCAATGTCTGGGGTCAAAGAACAATTTCTCATTGAGTAAGAAATACCAACTCAGAGCAGTGATCATTAGAACTGCTTTGTACCTGTGTAGAAATGACAGTTTCATTGAAACTACAGAGCTGTCTTCATAAATGTTTGTTACTTTCTCATTCCAAGCTAAGTTTTACCTTTTTGATTTAAAAAGTCTTTGGCTTTGCAGATAAGACTGCAGGGAATAACCTTGAGCAAATGCGCTTTTCTGTTTTTTAACATTTTTATTGATGTTATTTTGCATCAGACTAAATACACTTCTCTTGTATTCGATTTAATACTATTTTCTTTTAATTTCATATTTAACACAGGTCATTCCATTCTTATTGTAAAGTTTATTTTTCCATTTATAATTAGTAAGTTTCTCATAGGGTGATACTTTGAGATTGTAAGTATTCAGTTTTTCATTATACTTTTGCCTCTAATTTTAGTGTCCTTTGACACAGTGGCTGTAACAATGGGCTCAGTCATAGCAAGGATTGTGAGGATGGCACACAACTGGGCAGTGTTTCTTTCTGTTGTACACAGAGTCACGATGAGTTGGAGTCAACTCAGTGGCACCTAATGCCGTTTGTCACTTCTTTATCTACCAGTAATACTTGATCTCATTATCCAGATACATTGTTTGCTGAATCTTAGGATAAATACAGAAACATCCATGAGGTACTTTCAGAGTTACTGACTGTTAGATGATGATCCACATTACAGAAAACAATTTGGCCTTTATTTGAAGTTCCTAAGAGGCAGCCTGCAGTAGAGACTAATGAGCGAGAGCAGGTAAGATCAGAGGGGCCAGTTGGTGCCCTGACACTGATATGTTGAGGTGTAATTTGGCTTTCATGCAGCACTGGCCAATAAAAGCACCTTGTTGGATGTTTAAAGGAGCTTCCTGGTGGGTGAGAAACATCCATTCATGTGAAGGGTAACATGTCCTGGGAACATGGAAGCTCTTCATTGGGGCCCTCCCAGACCTTGCCACATGGATCCCTTCTTTTGCATTATTTATTGTTATATTTAATCCATTCTCATAAGAATAACTTTTTTGTGAATCCTGTGAATTGTTCTAAAAAAATTATTGAACTGAAAGGAGGCTCAGAACTAACAGAGACCCCTGATCTTGAGGAGGTGTTCTAGGAGGGTTAAAGGGAACTCCCAGACTTTCAACCAGCAGATCAGAAATGTGGCAGTTCCTCAAAAAAAGTAAATATAGAACAACCAAAACTCCAAACTCACAGCCATCAAGTTGATTCCAAGTCATAGTAACCCCAATCGGGTTTCCAAGGCTGCAAATATTTACAGAGGCAGAGACCGCCTCATCATTCTTCCACTGAGCAGCTGATGGGTTTGAACCACGGACATTTTGGTTAGCAGCCAAATGCCTTAACCACTGTGGTGTTTAAGTTTGTGTGGCATCTTGCCTGGGCCTGGTTGAGTGGCTGGACAGCTGGTGGTAGGTATTCCCCGTGATGAGAC